AACGAAAGTCATAGGTCTCTTTAATTATCTCAGTTTACAAATCTTCTCATCAGTTACAGATCATTATCATTTTTTCATTAATGAAACTTTTTTTTTAAGTATTTATAAGAGATCATACTGAATGCAAATTAGAATGATTTGTTCGCCCATATCGTGAATCCGATTATAAATACTTTTAAAAACTAAAACTTTGTCATTAAAAACAATCTTAGATACTCAATTAAAAATTAAACATGTAATCCTCTGGTCTCTTCATATATTATTAGCATCCAAAAGAATGAATAAAAAAATTTCAAATATACAAGGAACAACGATAATTACAAGTATTCTATTTTGTCAAAAAATTAATGCTTGTTAACGATATTTACATGCTTGGATAAGACAGCGATAATTATAATATACATTTTTCTTAATAATATAACATTATTCTGATTGAAATACATAAATATATATATATATGAAAAGCATCACTATCAACTTGTATTCTCTTATTATGGAGATATGGTTTTAAAGAAAGTAAAATTTCATAAGTTGTGTTAATTATTACTAAGAATTAAAAGACTCTTAATTATATTCAAAAAAAATAAATTCAAACTATAAATTTAATAGACTTACAGAAATACATTTTTCATGAAATCTTCATACAAAATCAATGAAATAAGCAATACATGTTCTTTTCTATTTCTAATATGTAAAGCAAAACAATTCGTTTTGTTTTTAAATCTTATTACTATGTTGATACCGATATCACTTTCTATTGTTCATCTGTCTCTCTTATCATAACCTGTGCCCTAAATTGAATACGTACCGCTAAAGATGTGCAATAGCCTAATGAACATTATTATACAAATTGTTATTAAAAATTATTCGTTCAGTTCGTCGCAAAGAAAAAGACCTTAAGAATGTGTTTATCTAGCTCATGGAACAAATATCTATAGGAGAGAGAGAGAGAGAGATCAATGAACATGAGAAAGGATGATATAGATAGAGAGAATGTAGAGCGAAAGATGAGAGGAAATGAGGATTTTAATATCGGTAGAAATATGAGAATGAAGAAAAGATGAAATTTTTTATTATTGTTTCCTGTACTTCAGTCAATTTACTAATTTGTTTTCTCTTAACAAACAAAAAATTTCTTAAAAAATTAATTATAGAAAGCAATTGTTCCAGAAAAGTAACCCACATATTCACTGTTATTAAATAACTCTTCTAGTTGAATTCAGTAATGTTCATTTTGAAAATGTATTCTCTCTTGAAAGAAGTAATCTACATTTAAAAACTGTTGTTGTTTTTTTCTTTCCATATGTTTCTAAAATTGGTATCTGATAACAAATGAGAATATTTTTATCCATTTATTTTCTGTTAGAGAGCAAGATTGTAATAGATAATAAATGCATTTGTTCTTTTTATTTTGTTTCATCATATAAAACGCACACATTACAAAAAGTTAATTAAGTTTATGTGAGTGTCAAAGAATCATTTGGTTGTTTTATTGAATCTTTTTTGATGGTGAAGTATTCAATGTTTTAGCACGTTGTTTAAACATATGCTTGTACATTGTTGGAAAATCTAAATAGTACAAAAAAAAAAAATTTATCATCGTCTAATTGAAAATAATCCTTCATGATTTCTATTGAGGAGGAATACACTGACCGCAAAAAAATTCCCTTCTTATCTATTTCATAGAAATAACAGAAAGTACGAAAACAAAACAAGTAGGTTTCTATAATATAAGACATTGTTGAGGTTTACATGTTTTATAGTTCAATATTCATTGAAATTTTACTGATTGTTTCATGTATCTTAGCTAATAGGCAGACTGACCATAACCCCTAACTGAATGTTTTTATACAACTTTGACGAGTATTCGTGTACGATCCGTTCAGTCAAATTATATACTCGGTAATTGGATAAAATATATGAAAACGTTGCATACAGAACAAATATATTTAATAATCGAATTTTTATTTCAAGGAAATGACGTTAAATTTATTGACGTATGACTCGATGAAAAAGTACGAGGAGAACAATTTCCAAGTTTTAAAAAATAAAAACCAGATTGAACAATGAATTAAAAAAAAAATAATTTGTAATCATTAATATAATACTTTAGTGGTTTTTATTTTTAAATAAAATATCATATTGATCAATTATGAAAAATTTATCATCACATTCTCATATTTATTTTTTTATTATTAAAAGAATTGTTATTTTCTGTCTGCATATAAAATTAATTTTGTTAAACCCTCAACACTTATGAAATATTTAATATAGCATATTTTTAATAATACTTTTTATATATCGAAATATAAAATTATCTGATAAATATCTACTTCTATTTAATATTTCAAATAAACTTACATGTATAAGCAAGAAGAACAACGCAAAGAAAATAAAAATAATCAAAACCAAAATTAAATTTATTTGGTAAAACAATTGAATATCGATTTCGAACAATTTCTGGATAGATTGTTTGCATGGCTTTTATTATTGTTAGAATTTCACCCTATTAAAACAAAAAAAAATGAATTTAATTATTTATTCTAATGATAGATCATACTGTTACACCCAATGGATAGAGTACAATAAAAAATGAATATCTAAAAATATATATTCGTATTTCAAAAAAAAAAAATTAGTTCAACTGACCGACACCATGTAAGTAATTGAGGAGAAACTTGAAATAGATTAAGTGCATAATAAGCATAACGAATAATTTCTGTAATACTCCATGCTGTTACTGCCAAAAAAATGCCCAATGAAAGTTGTGCCTATATAATATTACAAT